ACGCGATCCGTTTGAGCCTCAGTCAAATTGTGTGGGATCCACCAAGAGCACAGCCTTTTCAAACCCAAATGTTTGTGTAGTATTGATTGTATTTGACTCATGCCTATGCCTGAAGACGCCCGAATCTCATAGTATGTCACATGCCTGTCTGTTTTGATCGTACGGCGCACAGTATCGATGTTTTTGTTGTTCACAGCTGTGGACGGGCGACTATCACGAAATTCGTAACCAAGATTCACACGACCGCGGTTGAATTCTGAAAATCAGCTGTAAATAGTCGTCTTGCATGGTGCCTCATCGCCAAAAGCAGTTTGAAGTCGAGTGAAGCTCCGCTGAACTGTTAAATTAAATTAAAAATTACATATACCACGAAAATTTTCACGAGTTAAATCCATGGTGACGTAGGCAACCAATTTCTAAAATGACATCATAATGTAACAACAAGTGGTAGTCAGATGAAACAAACTGTATACTATAGCCAAAGAGTTCCATTTTCAAATGTTGTAATTACTTTTTAAATATTGTTTATGTAAGTGGCCAGTTCAGGAAACTTATAGTGCGCCCTACGTAGTATAATATAGTCTATAACTTTAATAGTGTCTCTTGATTGTTTTGATAGTTGTTTATATATTTTCACGGCCATAGCTAATGGTGCTATGTGTAAGTAGTAGTATATAATTTACTTATAATAATACTAAGCAGCCAGGTAAAAAGGTTTTCTGCATTTAAGTAGACACTAGAATGTGCGCCTATCGTGGAATCGTTGGCGGTGGCGTCGATGGTTATTCGACCGTCAACGGTGCGGCGACGTGATCGGTGAGGCGTATATTTTTCAAGTATTTAAAAAACATTAAAAACATTTTCAAGTGCTTAAAAATCATTTTCAACGTTTTTTGTACTTCAAGTTGAAGTATAAAAAACGTTGAAAATGTTTTTTGTAGACATGTAGGTACTGTTACTACAAAATAATGTTTCAGAAAAAACAGTCACATAAAAATAAACGCTCGTCATTTAAATCTAATAAGAATAAGATGTTCAAGGAAGGAACGGTATTTAATTTATTTATACGAAAATAATGTTTCGAAGTATAACATTAAGTGATACTTTATTAAAATGAAACACATTTTTAACCGACTTCAAAAATGGAGAAGGTTCTCAATGGCTGGTTTTTTTTTGTATGTGTGCTATTACGCGATAACTTTGGCATTTGTAAACAGATTTTGATGATTCTTTTTTGTTTGAAAGAGGGTATCTCAGTATTGGTACCCAATCAAATTTAAAGAAAATATTCCATCTCTAAGAGTGGCAAACTAGAGGATGAATCCGGTTTCGCGCACTTTCCGGTAACCGATTTCATTAAACTTGGCAAATACATGTAAGTAATTCCACGAACTTTTGAGGTTGATTTTTTTAGTATTCTGTACTGAGATAACCGCCACGTCGACCGTTACGCCGGTCAAATTCACAGACAGCAGCGTGGCGCACATGTCTACTAGACACACTAAATGTGTCACATGCTCACACGTACATTCTACACGTTGTACGTACGCACTGCCCAAAATATCAGAACATTTTGGTAAAAATCAACATTATTGTAACATTTCAAATTTGAATAATATTGTGTCGTATATTGATACTAACATATAGATAACACTTTTATCACAATTTTTTTTCCAGCTGTGGGTGACTAATTAGCTACAACACTAGAATTTAAAAGATTTACTAGAATCTTAGTTCCGAGGGATAAAAGCCCCAAATGCAGGAATCTTTCAATGAACTTTTAAGAAATGAGCCTTATTCCATTGAGCTCCGTTACCATGGTGAAACCGTGTAGTATGAATTCGATTTATAACCTATGCGAAGATAAACGGCTTTGCACAGCAACATAACGCTTTAAAAATTTATTCTTGTCGGGCCGGGTATCGATCACTTCACCGAAATAATGAGATGGAGCCTATGCAATAAACAATATCAAACAGATAGCTGTTATATAGATATGTATTTAAAAAATGTAAATTGCAGTTCTTGTGACAAAAATCATACTCTTAATTATAATAAAGTCACATCATATGTGTCATAATACTTTATTACATACATGAAAGTCATAAAAATAATACGAACTAAGTACATGAAACAAAATACTGTATTATGTGAAATTTCATAACTCTGCCATTTAATAAAAATTTATAAAAAAATATAGACTAATTTTGTTCGTAGCATCTTTAAACGTTTCTTTGTGTTCAGATTGAACAGAAAAGTTGTCATTACGCAGATGTGACATTGTTACACCAAGGCTGCGAAATGATTAATTTTATAACATAGGAAATAAAACTATTTTTCCGGGTTCAAATCGCGTATACTTGTTTTTCAAACACCGACGTTTCGGGCCCTTTACAGGTCCCATGGTCACCGTTGACTGAGGTGGTACAGTCTTCAACCAGTTATGTCTAATATGAGTTGCAAACCAACCTATTTTTTCACTATAGTTTTAATTAGTTTTTTTAATTTTATAACATTAACCTTTATTCACTTTACTGCCTCGTTACCATGCTGGACTGCCACGTAGAGGTCTCGAGTTCGATTCCCGGACCGGGGGAAATATTTGTATGGCCTACATTTATTTCTCTTGTGAGCTTGGGTGTAATTTGTGGTTGTCTACCTATTTGTGTGTCCATGACACCCATGATACAGGGTTTCCCTAGTGCGCTGCTATGAGTGTGTTAATAAAAAAATTAATTGAACATTTATTAATCTGTGTGTCCATGGCACCCACGATACAGGGATTTCCTAGTGCGGGACTATGAGTGTGTGCGTTATTTCCTTTACATATTTATTTATTTTTAAACCGGCACGGACAAAATAACTCATGGTACTATTATTGAAATTATTGCTATGTCATCAGGACCTGCAGTTAGCGTGCCCCTGCATGCCCAAGGTTCAATTATACGTTCTCTCAGTTTATAATTTATATTAATGACTTATACTTATCCTCGTCGAGAACTGAAGTAATGTAGTTTAGTTATAACACTTCCGTATTTCATTTTAAAGGACAGCAAAGTCCCTGTGACAACGAACAACTTAGTAGAATGAAATGAAAAATTATTTATCTGTTCTCTAGTTATATATTTAGTTATTAAGTTATGTACTGTATACATGGTGTGATATGTTATAGCGTATTAGTTTCCGCGACTTGCCTTTGTAGCGCCTATTTGTCGTGTGGTACCAAGGGTCTTATGCCACCCGAGCTCCTTCAGAAATCTTAACAACCTTTTGTGTTTGCTGAAGACTTCAATGTAAACTCTATATATAGAACCCCATATATAATGGTTGACCGCCTTGTAGTACATAAGTCTTGACATCATTAATTTAAATCAATACATCATGACATAAGTCAAATTGACGAGCGCAGTGGCAGTACCCATCAGATCGATGTGACTTAAAGTTCTAAGTGGCACTGCAACTGCAACGCTTATCACTAGATGCACGACTTGTTCGTACCGTGACTTGGTGCCGTGAAAAAAACAATGTCTTAATTAAAATTGTGCTGCTGGTTTTAGATATGAAAATTGCCATTTACGTATAAGAAGTAGTAAAATTTCTTTCGTCTGTCGAGGCAAGCTAAGGCCTCTAATAATTAGTCGCAGTGCCAGATGTAAGATTTTCATTTTTCTTCCATCATTTAATTTTAAGACATTTGTTCGCGAAAAAACGTTATGAACTCTTTCCAAAAAAAAAAAAATTAAAAATACGTGTGCATTTTGCCTGAAGCCCGCCATTTACGAAGTTGAAAACTGTAACGTAAAAAACTCTATCATCATCATCATAATTTCAGCCGATATAATTGAATCCGGGACCTTCTCGTCTAACACCCACTGTAAAAATCATTAAGCCACGTAGATGATTAAAAAACAGGGAACTAAAACTGTTTTGAGAAAAGGGTGAATGACCGGAATATCTCAGACTGGCGGAGGCCTTGCCCTCAGATAACTTTAACATGATTTTAATCGGATTAATTTATCAAACGTAATCTAATCAAGATATTAAAGAAGTTTACCCAAACATTCATAATAATTGGTTACAAAAATGTGAACTTACAAGAAGCTATTTAATTTCTAAAACATTTTCACGAGAACAAGATTTATTATACGCATCTTATCGCGTGGGATCTGGATAATTTCGGAGAAGCATTTGACCTTTGCGCAGCTGTAAAAAATCTCAATTTAATTGAGTACCGAGGGAGATTAAAAGTACCAAAATGGCAACCAATTTCTTGTTTCGGATAATTTTCAATACACGCCTCTAAATAAATAATGTCGTATTTTAAAGGTAGTAAATATCTTTCATTTAAAAATATTTAATTTAATAAACCCGGTCACTCTGAATGATGGGCGGTTTGTATTAACAATACCCGCATCAAATGGGCAATGTAATAAAAATTTAACGATTAATCACTTTTCGTAGTCAATATGAATAATGATCAGTGTGGTCATTGGTCTTGGTTAAAGTAATAAAATAAAATGATCTGTAGTGTTTTGGTTAGATGACATTAGGTTAGGTATTTATTATAATAAGAAGTAAAAAATTATTCATACCGCCCAAGTGATAAATTGGGTTAAAATCAGACATGCACCTGCCCCCTGGTTATCACAAGATATTAAGATAGCTATGGCTCTCAGAGATAAGGCGAAACGACGCTGGAAGAGGCTTCCTACAGATGACAACCTAGCTCGTTTTAAATACCTGCGTAATCGCTGTAGTCGCTTGTGTAGAGATGCTAAGAGACGGCACATTCACGATAACGTTGAGAAATGCGATTCCACTCAGATCTGGAAATTCCTAAAGTCCATTGGGATTGGTCGTACCATTGCTTCTGGTGATTCGTCCCTTCCTGATCTTAACGCGCTTAATAGACATTTTTCCCTACCCCCTGTTACTTTAGATAAGCATCGTAAAAGCGCTACCCTTCGCATTTTGGCTGACTATACTTTACCGGCATGTACCTCTTTCTCCTTCCGGACTGTTGCCGAATGTGAGGTCAAAACCCATATTCTCTCTATTTCTTCTACTGCTGTTGGCAATGATGATCTCAGTTCCCGTATGATTAGCCTCATACTCCCTGAACTTGTCCCTATCCTCACTCATGTTTTTAACTTCTCTTTACAAGCTAGTTCTTTCCCTTCTCATTGGAAACTCGCCCATGTTATACCTTTACCTAAAACGTCTAACCCTACTTGCCTTTCCGAATTCCGTCCCATCTCCATTCTCCCATTTCTATCCAAAGTCCTCGAACACATTGTCAACAAGCAGTTAATGTTGTATCTTTCTTCTAATAAGTTGCTTTCCCCGTTTCAGTCAGGTTTTCGTTCTGGCCATAGCACTGTGACTGCACTGTTGAAGGTAACAGATGATATTCGCCTCGCAATGGACAATGGTCTTCTCACTTTGCTTATACTTCTGGACTTCAGCAGTGCTTTCAACTCTGTGGACTTTGACGTATTGCTTGCTTCCCTTCGCTCTTTTAATATTTCTCCTTCGGTTATAGCTTGGTTCGACTCCTACCTCAGAGGCCGCTCGCAGTGTATTCGCTCTGACGAGGCTTCCTCTGATTGGTGTGACTTAGTTGCTGGCGTTCCTCAGGGTGGTGTTCTTTCCCCTCTCCTTTTCTCTGTTTTCATCAATTCTGTCACTTTTGTGCTGTCTTCAAACTTTCATCTCTATGCTGACGATTTGCAGCTATACCGCAGTTTTAAAGCGTCTGATGTCGTTGCAGCCGTTGAAGCGGTTAATGCTGATTTACGATGCATCGCTCATTGGGCTGAGTGTTTTGGTTTGTTGGTGAATCCCAAAAAGTCACAGGCTATGATTGTGGGAAGTGGGTATATGCGTGGCATATTGCATCTAGATTCTGTCCCACCTATAGCGTATAATTCCACGCCTATTGCTTATGCTTCTACTGCAACTAATCTTGGCTTGCTTTTAGATTGTAATTTGGTTTGGACTCCACATATTAATGAAGTCAGTCGTAAAGTCCATTTCTCCTTGCACTCACTTAAGCGCCTCCAAAACGATTTACCTTTAAAAACCAAAATATGTTTAGTCCAAACACTTATTTTACCCTTCTTAGACTATGCTGATTCCTGCTATTTGGATGCTACTGAAGAACTGCTAAATAAGCTTGAACGACTGCAAAACCTATGTATAAGGTTCATCTTTGGGCTTCGTAAATATGACCGAATTTCACATTTCCGCAGTCAGCTCAAATGGCTTCCCATCCGTCTCCGCAGGAATTTGCATATTGTCTCCATTCTTTACAATATTTTACATAACCCTGTGTCTCCCGGGTACCTGAAAGAGCGTTTCAGCTTCCTTAGGTCCCAGGATAAACCCTGTCGCTCTCTTGTTAGGTCCCAGTTATCTTTTCCATGCTTCAATTCCGGTTTCTATTCTCACTCCTTCACTGTTCATGCGGTCAGACTTTGGAATGCACTTCCTATTACTGTTCACGAAAGTAAATCGTTAGCTATTTTTAAAGTGAGAGTTAAAGAGCATTATTTATCTACTATTCCATCCATATATTAGGTATTATATTATAAAATATGTATTTATCTAAGTATTTATATAATTTATAACAATTTAATATTTTTATATTATTTTTATATTATTTTTTTTTTTTCTTGTTTTGTTGTGCACATATGCCCGTTCTTTTAGTTATAGTGTCCTGTATTTAGGTCTGCAGGAAGAAATTTCTATTAGATATAAGCAGAACCTTTTGTTTTTAATTTCGCTTGTATTCTTTGTGACTTTTTGTATTTTTCCTGTACAATAAACTATTAAATAAATAAATAAATAAATAAATTCACGCCATTTTAAGTCTCGATTTATCAAATGGGCCACAAGCAAAGTTAGGCATTATAGGGGTTAAAGTGATAAATACTTGGTCAGTATTCATAATATTCGTAATGTGTAATGTTACGGATAATTTGATTAATCGGTAATCAAATTATCCGTAACATGTAACCAGTCAACCAGTGTAATTGTGATTAAGGAATAATTGAGACTACTCTAAATTACTGAATAAGTAACCTTGTTTAAAGTGTTAGGGCGCATTTATTCGACACGACTTTCATCGCGCTCACCCCGCGCGGCCGCCGCGCAGCGACCGCGTGCGTATAACTGTCATGGTAAAATACGCTCTATTTATTTAGCTTTTACGTTTTAACTTAACCCGGCGCCAATGACGTGAAAATAATTACGCCGACGGTGACGTTGGGTCATCGTGACCCGAATTTCATTGATAATTTTTTGTAAAATTAAAGTAGTTGTCTAAATTTTAACAAATACGTATTAAGTAAGGGTCGTCAAGACATATACTGAAATAAAAATAATAACAATAAATTGTATAAATAAATATTTAATTAGCGTTCTCAATAACACGTGCAAAATCAACATTGAAAACATAATTTTGATATTTCTTTTATTTTTAGTAAAATATTCTGAATAATAATAGCAATTAATAGTCTTATATACTAAAAGAAAGGTCACTCAAACTTATTATTAGAAATTAGTCTTCTACGTCCTCAATCAGAGACGTGCAACTGCTGCAACTATTGCAGTACCTTCCCGTATGATCCGGGTATATAGGTAGTATATATAAATCTAGCATGCATTACATGTATGAGATGTTTTTTTATCCTGTTTGAACGGACATACTTGACATCTCTCGCGTGTGCCAGAGGTTGGTATGTATTGCGTAAATTTGCATCGTCCTTTGAATACCACCAACATTTCATCAATAGTGCAGTTTTCGCCCGCAGGATACATTTTTGGCATTGTTCAACAAATGCTTTGGAAAGTTCACGTATTGGTGCCAAATGATTAAATTGATGTCTGTCAGCACGCAACAAGCAGCAGGAATAAGATTAATTAATTATAAACAGTAAATAAACCAATAATGTCAGTCACAAAAATACCACGCCAGCGATGACGCTGGGTCATATTGACCCGTTTTGACTTAATGCACGTATTACTTGGCTGTGCAGATGGCTTCACATTTAGTACACCAGCGAGTCGGGTAGAGGAGGGTTGTATCTCCAGCTACTCAAACGTTGAAATCGTGCAATTGGTGTAAAACAAAAATATGCCCGTTGTAAATCGCCTCGGGTCAATATGACCCAACGTCATTGGCGCCGGGTTAAATTAGCATCCTGGACACGCGGGCGAGACTGGCTAGAATTTGGTCTATGGGCGGCCGATTGTAATATAAATTCAGATGAATTTAAATGTTGTTGCCTAGGAAATAGAATCCAAATTCACCATTAATGTACATGAAAGCGTGGTAACTGAATGGTCGCCGCGCGTCTGTCGCGCGAAAACTTTAACCTCGTGTAACTACGCGCTTAGAGGATGAAGTGCAAAATATTTGGATTGCTGCTATGCCAAAGTGTACCTTTGGCGAAATCCCGGGATATTACGTTATGCATACTTATCTTTTAGTTTCAATCAGTTACAATTACCTCGAATTTAATTTACTGCGGTAATAATATGTTGTCCTTAGGATAGTAATAATCTGATATATTGTCCTTTATCGACTTACTTCTTTGGCACCCCTAGAGATGGAATATTTTCTTCAAATTTTGGGACCAATACTAACGTAATCTCTTTCCGACAAAAACATTCATCGAAATCGGTTTACAAATCCCGGAGTTATCGCGTAATATTAACAGTCCACTTTGTCATTAAATACATCATTTACTGGCAAAACGTCATTAATAAATGCAGGCGTTACTTTACGGAAGTCGATATTAATAAAAAATGGAAATAAATTAGTTTGCTAAGTTTGCTAGTGTAAATTTGCTACGCTTGTCATGAACATTTTTATGCAGTTAATTTTCCCACCCTCTCACAGCATAAAATTAATAAAATAAGTAACACAAGCGCAATTACAGTCACAGTCACCACTACCACCAATATACCCGACACGTGTTTAATAAAACGTGTCAGCAAAATACAATCTACCATCTTTAAGAAGGACTTAACCCACGAATAGTAATAACACAGGAACCCTTTCGAGATCAGATAAAAATGATAATGTCTAATAAGCTAAGGAACTTTACAAGCTCATGTGGTTTCATCATTATCTTAATTTACATTAATTTAACAAGACACTTCTCTGTAACTGTGATCAAATATTCAATAGAGTCGAAAACAATCGAGGGTCGAATCGGAGAAGACACGAAGAAAAAGCGACGCAACAAGTAAGTCACGATTAAATAAAAACTAACGTGATTGCAACGTACTTACGTTGTATGTATTAATTTTAAAATTTAGGCGTAATTATCTAGTAACATAGATACACATGATTTCACGCATGCGCACGTATGTACGCGCAACACATACTTTCTGTGTACGTCATTGACTTACAATTTTATGGACGTCGGGTCCGCGCTAAAAAGTGTCCGCACTTGTAAGGCGCTAAAATCGTATACAGAGCGCTAAACTCCGCTTTAGTCTTCATTTGTTCTACTGACAGCGCGATACTGCGATGACATTACAATTTAAATTTCGAATAGGTTGACTTGGGACATTTTTTTCGTGGTTTTTGTATTAGACCCGTCATCCATTTATTTGTAAGTCAATGGTGTACGTGTATTCTTTCTGAAATTAATGGATAACGCCAGAAGATTATGAGTTGACTAGTTGCGTCTCTCTTAACAAGGTTCTTACAGAATACCATCGTCTTCCTCCTGGTTTCTCCAATTATTTATATGTAAAGTTGTAAATAACTTCAATTATTTATAGTAGGGTAAGGATTAGAATCTCTGTTGTCTTTATTTATTAAGGAAAACGTTTAATGAATCAGATTTTGACTAGTTTTTCAAAAAAGCACTTTGGTACGATTTAGGCAACTGGTCGCCTAAGTCGCACCACCTATAGCCGTACTTAGAATAACATGCAAGTCATGACATCATAAACAGTATACTGCAGTACTAATAAAAAAAGTTCAAAATAACAATTAAAATTTAGTAACAGGTACTAGGTGGTTAAAATCAAATTATTTTTAATATTTTTGCAGCGTGAGAACAATCTCAAAATCTTATGTGTAAGTGAACACAGAAATAAAAATTATAAACTCTTGGGAAATA